AAATATATTCTGCAACCCTGTCTCCTCGTTGGCTACAAATTTCAACCCTCCGCATACATGCCTTCCCCTTCACCCGCTCGTAAAATCACGCGTTCTCGGTAGCATCGAGGAGGACTTCTCAGGACCGAAAAGAACTGAGGATTCGAATGGTCTCTGGAAAAGTACGTCGCAGAACTGATTAGGACTTACCAGGTCCATCTAGGTCTGGAGAGATCTTGAAAGACCTGTGTACGTCCAATCAGAACCAAATCCTCGACTCGGGGAACTCCCCCGGCGAAATACTGGTAGCGCACCAGATTTTATCCGTATCTTTTTTCTTCGTGCATGTGATGAAGTTTATCTTTAATTGTTCGCTAATGAATTCATGGAATTTATCTTTTTTTCTGTTAAACGTAGGTGTTTTTGAGCCCTATCCATCGAGATAACCCTGTCGAGATAATCTGGCGAAGCTTTTTTCAAAGTTTTTTTGGACGGAATGACCGTAATTTGTCTTCACGATGTTCGTAAACGGCGTTTGACGGAGACGAAGTGCCGATTCTTTGGAATTTCATAACCATTTTTGCCCAAATGCGACGATTCAATGTCACTTTCATGAGAATTACTATTGTATATCTTCCATGAAATTTCAAAAAATTTCTAACAGTGTGGTTCGACGATTACGGAAGCTAGTTCAGTTTCACACACATGCGGACATACGTTAATCACCACCATCATACTGACGACGCATTCCATAAAAATTCACATAAAAGAAGATCGTTCAAATCTCTCACGTCTAACCTGTTTATCATTTCCCATTCAAAGCACCTCCTTTGATTCTCCGAATAATTTAAATTATCAAACGTGTGCACCCAATTATCGTACTCATTACGGCTACAAACGAGCCGACATATTGCACGTGTGAATAAACCAAAAACAAAAAGCTAAAACCTTGGTGAAATTTTTCAACTTCCCGTGATTAGAATAATGCAACATGCCATTGGGATAACGTTCCGTAACACATTTAAATGGAAGTGAGAGAGAAAATAAAGAGCAAACACTGGAATGCAAATGTCGAGTTGAGGAGAGACGAGTACACGAGAATGAGTCACACGCGATTGGACACACGACGTTTCGCCGATACAGGCTACGAGTTTGAACTCGAGCATTAATGTATCTTCTTTTTTATTATTCACATCCTTGAGGTACAAAAGTATTCCTAATTAGTCTCGAGGATGATGGGCTTCCTGTCGTGTGCTCTCATTTCCTTCTTCAGTGTTTTTCTCTTTTCTTACTTTTTGTGATGTTTATTATTCCGCAATGGGGAATATGATAATTCGCAGACGCCATAGGTGTTCCCCTGTGATCATTGGT